TATGATTCTATGACTCGCATCTATCTAAATTAAACTCCATCTGCAAATTCTTGGCCCATTGGTCCATCCGATCAAGTTGTACTCTGCGATAATCTTTACAGTCATACAGTCCACTACACCATCTATCTGCAAACGTACTGACCATACCCTCTGTATTCACATCCAAAACTTGATGGAGAAAGTATCCCCTTCACATTGACATTGACCAATATACTGTGGCCAGAACTCTTACTGTAAGATCCTGTGTGTTTCAGTGAAGAAGAACACACAGTGCTTAGAAGTTTATTGGCTTGGCTTAAGCTAAACTATTAATTTATCGTGAGTTATAAACCTGTACAGAAGATTCATTAAGCAGACAAATAGTATTCAACTTACACCAAACTCTGAATCAACTAAAATAAGAAAACACTTGAAAGTGATTCATGATCTTTCCCAGGACATGAAATAAACGTTGGCAGAGTGTAAGATGAACATATCACATCATTAATAGAGAGATCGTAAGAACTGCCGATGCTGGAGTCTGAGATAACACAGTGTGGAGCTGGAGGAACACAGCAGGCCAGGCAGCATCAGAGGAGCAGGAAAGCTGACGTTTCGGGTCAGGACCCTTCTTCAGAAATGGGGGAGGGGAAGGGGGCTCTGAAATAAATAGAGAGTGGGAGGGCGGTAGATAGTGGAGTGGATAGGTGGGAGAGAAGACGGACAGGTCAAGGAGGCGGGGATGAAGCTAGTAAAGGTGAGTGTAGGTAGGCAGTGGTGGGGATTGGTCAGTGAGGTGGGAGGAGCGGATAGGTGGGAGAGAAGACAGACCTGTCAATGAGGCGGGGATGAGAGGAAGGGGCTGGTCTTGGGATGAGGTCAGGGGTGGGGAGATTTTGAAGCTAGTAAAGTCCACATTTGACCACTCAGTTGTAGATTTCCAAGGTGGAATATGAGATGCAGTACCTCTACAAGCCTACAACCCAATGGTCTCAATGTGGACTTTACTAGCTTCAAAATCTCCCCACACCCGACCTCATCCCAAGACCAACACCCCCCCCATCCCCGCCTCATTGACTTGTCCGTCTTCTCTCCCACCTATCTGCTCCTCCCACCTCACTGACCAATCCCCACCAATGCCTACCTACACTCACTTTTACCATCTTCATCCCCGCCTCCTTGACCTGTCCGTCTTCTCTCCACCTATCCGCTCCACTATCACTGCCCCCCCTCTCTATTTATTTCAGAGCCCCCTTCCCCTCCCCCATTTCTGAAGAAGGGTCCCGACCTGAAATGTCAGCTTTCCTGCTCCTCTGATGCTGCTTGGCCTGCTGTGTTCATCCAGCTCCACACTGTGTTACATCATTAATATACCAAGGCGTGGTTATCTGGGGGAACTCTGGTCTGTAGAGACTCACTTCCACTCCCTCTCCATACTCAGGATAGTCGTCCTCCCAGACAGCAGAGTACAAACATTCCCCATAGTATCAGTCAAACATCTGTCACCTGAAGAGGATATAACTATAATTCACATCAAACCAGGGTCTGATTCTACCCCTTACCAACTCACTGGCTCACTTTACAAATAAAGGGCCTACTGCATTAAACTTACAGCCGGGCTGTTCACCAGTGGCTTTAGAAAGTATTAGGAAGGAAGGTAGTGCAGGACACTTAAATGTATCTCACTCTCCAACCAGTATTGAGCTCTGAATGATGGAAGTGATGGGTGATCTGGGGACTGCATGGCACCACAACTGGCTGTGCTGTGTACCAAAAACACAGCAATAGGGACTTGCTAGTTCTGGAAACCGATGACAGACATTTCTATCGAAGATCGGAGATGCAACTCTAGGATGACATGTTACTTCCCTGGTGCCAGGGTCAGGGATGTCACTGAACAGATTCATGTGTCAGTCAGGGTACATTTAGAGACAGTGTTCGTTGAATCAAAAGGTTTAAGTGTCACGATAGAGAAGACAATGAACAATTCAGAATAAGAATAATGAATCGGGCAACATGAACTGCAACAAGACAAGAATGGATCTGGCCAGATAAACTGGAGTAAAAGGCTCTCTGACGAAATGGTAAATGAACAACTGGCTGCCTTTAATGTGGAGATTATTTGGCTGGAGTGAGAATTGTGGAGGCACTGGCCATAATTTTCCTGTTTTCCTGAGAATTGGGAGTGGATCAGGAGAAGGAGAGAATTTCAGATATTACACCTTCATTCGAATAAGGATGTAAAGATAAATGTAGCAACTACCAGTCAGTTTAGCACAGCGATGGGAAAGCTTCTAGAAACAATAATTGAGGACAAAATTAAATCACTTGGGCAAATGTGGGCTAATTAACAAAATGCAAAACATTAGTAAAGGAAATTAACAGTATAACTTACTTCTGTAAGTCATTTATTGAGGTAACAGAGAGGCTTGATGAGGGGAGTACTGTTAAAGTGAGGCACATAGGCTTCCAAAAGGCATTTGAAAATGTGCTGTACAACAGATTTGTGAGGTAAGTTACAAATCATGGAGTCAAAGGGAAAGTAACTTTATGGATACAAAATGGGCTGAGTCACCAGCAACAGTGAGGAATGGTGAATGAATGTTTCTGAGAGGCTGGAGAAAGGTTGAGAATGGAGCTGTCCAGGGGCCAGTGTTAGATTGCAGCTGTTCCTGAGTTATAATTAATGATCTTGCTATACAGGACACAATAACAACATTTGAACAGTACCTAAGTTGAAAGTATTGTGAACTTTGCAGAAGTTGGTGTAAAATATCAAAAGGAGATAGGTTTGTGGAAGTGGCAGAAAGGTGGGAGAAGAAATTTAATGCAGAGAAATCTGAAGTGATTTACTGGAAGAAGATAGAAAAACAAAGGTATATTTCCAAAAGGGTGCAGGATCAGACAGACCTTGGTGTGCCTGGACAAAATCGCTGAAGTTGGCAGGACAGTTTGACAGAGCACTTAATAAACCAACTGACACCATTTGCACCCAGGCTTTATCAATAGGGCACAGAGTGCAAAAGCAAGATAGTTGTCCTATACCTGGATAAAACACTGGCTTAATCTCAGCAAGAATGCTATGTCCTGTGCTTGGCATCACACTTTAGGAAGGGTGAAGACATTAGCGACACTGGAATAAAAATTCACGAGAATGGCTCCAGGAATGAGAGACCTCCGTTACAGAGCTGGATTGGTGAAGAGAGAACTGATCTCATTGGAAAGGTTAAGAGGACATTTGACAGAGGTTTATTAAATCATGAAGGGTTGCACAGAAAGGATCGAGAATGATGGGACAGAAGTTTAAGGTGATTGGCAAAGGGGACACTAGGACTATGAGGAAAAATATTTCATAAATGACTGGTTAGGCTCTGGAATGTTCTGTCTGAGAGTGTGGTGGAGGCAGGTTCAATAGAGGCATTCAAGAGAGGACTAATTATCTACAAAGGATGAATGTATGATAAGAAGAAAGTGGGGAAGGGGTATGAGGCATGAAGTGTAAACAATGCATACAACAGGTGCCCCTTGGGTGTTAAGGGATCTTTAGAATTCCTTCCTTAATCCTCTCTGCATCTTCTGTCTCTGCTATTTGGACCCTGTCGAATCCACTTCTTTGGCCATATTTTTGGTAAATCCCTTCTAATCTCTTCTCTGACTCATTCATTTTTTTCTGATTATGTCACTATGAAACACCTCAGGATGCTTCACTATATTAAGGGCTCTGTAAATGCCAGCTTTTGTCCTTTTACTTCCCTACAGTCCTCAAGGTACTGACCTGGAGGACAAACTGTGGACATTGATTGACCTCTGGTGCACTGTTCGAGTGCCCATTCAGCATGTGGAGAGCCAGATGGTGAATGTTGTGAGACAATGGAGACTGTCACAGCCGAGACACATCCTACCCTCCCCCGGACTTCCCAGCTGGGATCACTGATGAGAAACGGGATTCCTGGCTGTTGACCCCCTCCATAGACAAGAGACATTGAGGCTAATTGATGTACCTCCATTACTGGCCCAGGGATGGCTCCTCCACTGTGTACTTGTGCTGCTCGATCAGAAGCTGAAGCCTTTCTAACCACTGAGTATTTAACTGTCTTCTTCGTCAGAGTGAAAGTTAGTAAGTGACTTGTACCTGACACTGCACTGAAAGGATGCTGAGTTTATACAGAAGCTTCTATACATATACATATCTTCTTTTGGTGACCTGATCAAAGGATAAATTGACATTCCTGAAATGATTGAACTGCTGCTGGGAGAGGTTTGTGACAGACGCTGTTGAAACAGATAGTATTTTTGAACGACAGCTCCATTGTGTGAGCACTGGAGGGTAAATGGTACAGTCAATTCTCAGCGCAATGGAACCAGGTCACCCGGCTCCGTGTCCATGTGGACACCTCGGTGTCTGATAAGAGAGGAGGAAGAGGTGGCGAAACAATCCTGGCACATATCACACTGGAAGGGTTTGGTGTATTTTGCGGGGTCACTGATGTTCCAGAAGTCTGACAACTGTGTGAGGAGTTTATTCTAGAACTCTATGAATGCATTGATGGACAAGTGACACACTGATTTGTCAATACTGCATACCTGAATGGCTTCTGAATGGCCTCAGTACAAACATCACACTGAAACGGTTCCTCCCTGTGCAAATCCTGGGTGTTTCTAGAGGTTTGAAAGCTTCAGAAAATCTTTCCCCTAAATCTCACTCTGGAAGGATGTTTGAATTCTTTGAAGGAGCGGGTGGTTTGATGAATTTGTAAAGTTTTTGTCACACACTCTTTTTTTTAATTCTTTCAGCATCACTGACTAAGCCAGCTTGGTTGCCCATTCCTAGTTGCAGTTCTAAGAATCAACCACATTGCTGTGGGTCTGGAGTCACACAGAGGTCAGACCCAGGTAAGATTTCTTTCTCTAAAGGGCATTAGTGAACCAGATGGGTTTTTCCAACAATTGACAATGGTTTCACGTCACCATTAGACTGTTAATTCCAGATGTATTGTTGAAATCAAACTCCACCATCCGCCATGGCAGGATTCGAATCCAGGTCCCCAGGACATTACCTAGGTCTCTGGATTAATAATCTAGTAATAATACCATCAGGCCATCGCCTCCCTAAATGCACCTTGCACTCTATTGTCTTTCCCTCACTGTGGATATGTCAGTGTTTCATGATTTCAGGAAGTTTGGTGTCACAACCAACACTTCAATAGTTATCTCCTGTGAATGCGCCGATGATACAGGAGGCCTGATAACTGTGCAAATCCCTTATCGCATACCTCGCACTTGAACGGCTTCTCCCCAGTGTGAGTGCGCTGGTGCTGCAGCAGTGTTGATGGCTGTGTGAACGCTTGGTTACACACGTGGCATTTGAAGGGTTTCTCCCCAGTGTGTATCCTCTGGTGCCTCAGGAGATCAGAGGACCGGGTGAAAGTCTTCTCACAGACCTCACAGCGAAATGGCTTCTTCCCTGTGTGAATGCGTTGGTGCGTGCGGAGGTTCGGTAACTGCGAAAATGACTTGTGACACACGTCGCACGTGAATGGCTTCTCCCCGGTGTGCACACGTTGGTGATTCACCAGGGTCAGTAGTCGTGCAAAGTTCTTGTGACACACCTCACACTTGAAGGGTTTATCCCCCGTATGGGTGTGCTGGTGATTCAGGAGAGTCGAGGAGCTAGTAAAGGCTTTGTCACAAACCTCGCATTTGAACAGCTTCTCCCCAGTGTGCATGCGCTGGTGCCTTCGAAAGTGGGAAGAGTGCGAGAAAGATTTGTCACAAACCTCACAGGTGAATGGTTTCTCCCCTGTGTGAAGACGCCGATGGTACATGAGGCCAGAGGACTGGGCAAAGGCCCTGCCACACACTTCACACCTGAAAGGCCTCTCCCCAGTGTGGATCCGTCGGTGTTTCACAAGTGTTGATGAGTGTGCAAAGGCTTGATCACAAACCTCGCACTTAAACGTTTTCTCTTCCATGAAGCTATTCTTGTGTAAACAGTTGTACAGCAGATGCACCTTGTGTGTTTGAGGATCATACAAGCTCGTGGAGCCCCCCTCACACTGGAACAGCCTCTCCCCAGTAGGAATGAGTCAAGGGTTCATGAGGCTCGATGAATGATTGAAGCTCTCACCACACCTGGAGCCCAGTCACACTTCTTCCCAGCTTCACCTTGACCGATTACCCACAGCCAAACCTTCAGAAAGGTTGGTTCTGATGGAAGGCTCCATACCACTGACCAGTTTCTGATTTGATGATATGTCAAAATTCTCCTGACCCGACCGATTTCCATACAATGCTTTTACTGTGCAATCTTCCCTGTGTTGAGCAATGCTGCAAAGGGACTGACCGTCTCTCCACAGTTGTTCAGTTTTTTTCTTGGGTGATGGTCAGGATCTATCCGCGGTGTCTATCCTCTCTGTATTCTTCTGTAAAACAGTAAAAAAAAGACATGATTTCGTCCAACTCCCTCTCCTCCTTTGCTGAAGGGGCTGACTCCTCAGTGAAAGACAGTTCCACAGCAAACTCGCTATTCCCTTTGGTGGGGAGAAATCAGATACAAGTCTTTTCTTTTTCCCTCACTTGACTGTCACACACTCTCTTTCCAGCAAGGACACTGATTAGTAACCAGGAGCAGACAGTGTGGCTACTTTCTCTCCTCTAACCAGACTCAGTACACCCCCCACCTTACCAAGGCACCATGACGGCAATAGGAAAATAGGCGGGCAGAGTGTAAAAAAGGGCTAGCAAATCACAGTGAGCTTGTGTTGTACTGGAAAAGACCGGTTTTAGCCTTAGAATATATGTTTTAAATAAAAAGGACCCAGGAGAAATGTTAATTCAATGGAAATTTCAAAATCTCTTTTTTATTCCAAAATTATTTGAAGCAACACTGGGCAGGAGGTGCTCAAAGCTGAGGAATATGTTATTTCAGTGTAAGTGATTGAAGGGTTCTAGTTTATCCTGGGAAATTAGATACTCTGCACTCACTCAGATTGCACATCCCAAATTCAGCTATCAGTCACAACACTGGGCAAAACTATCAAAACTAAACCCAGGCTTTTGGGAAAGGCTGAGGCCTTCAGGTAAAATCTTTAAAGAAGGCATTAAGAAACATTTCAATAAATGTGACCACAGGTATAACAACTGAATTGCTATGGAATGGAGGGGTGAGAGATGGAGGGATTCGAAAACAGGGAGGACAATGTTACAGTAATGGTGCAACTTGATGAAGGGCCAGCATAAATGAGCAAGCAGAAGGAATGGGTCTTGGTGTCAGTTAGGACACAGACACCAAACTTTTGGATGAGTTTGCATCACATGTTAAGAAGGTGTTTAGAACACTTGCTTTCATTCCTTAGACCTTTGAATATAAGAGTTGGGGTGTCATGTTGAGGTTGTACAGGACGTTGTGAAGCATCTTCAGGAGCACTGTGTCCCAGTTCTGGTCACCCTGTTGTAGGAAGGGCACTATTACACTGGAGAAGGTTCAGAAAAGATTATCAGGATGTTGCTGGGAATAACGGTTTGAGTCATAAGGAGAGGCTGTAATAGGCTGGGACGTTTTTCACTGGAGTATAGGAAGATGAGAGGTGACCTTATAGAAGTTTATAAAATCATGATGGGCATAGATAAGGTGAATGGCAGGTGTCTTCTCCCTACGGTTGGGGATTTCAAGACTAGGGGCATATTTTTAAGTTGAGAGGAAAAAGATATGGGGGCAATTTTTTTATGTAGAGAGTTGTTTTTTTTTGTGGAATGATCTTCCAGAGGAAGTGGTGGATGCGGTACAGTTATAACATTTAAAAGATATTTGGATAAGTACATGAATATGAAATGTTTGGAGTTCCACAGACCTGTGGAACTAGTTTAGTTTGGGATTATGGTTGGCATGGACTGGTTGAACCGAAGGGTCTGTTTCCATGCTGTATGACTCTATGTGAGAGCAGACAGCAGAGCATTAAAATAGTTGGGTCCATAGCCCATAAAGGAATGGATGGGGACTTTTAGCAGCATATGAGCTGAGACAGTGTATCACTGGTCTGTCATGTGAGTGAATTTTGCATCTCTTCCCATGCACGGCCAACATTGGAAATGACAGTGAGAGCCAGGGAAGGAAATACAGAATCCTTTTATAGAATCAGACACAATCATAGAATAGTCCATCACAAATGGAGTGAGGCAGCAGAGAGTTCGAGTTGGGTAATTTCCTGGCTTATTAAAACCATCTCGGTACAGTGTCCCATCAGAAGACAATATTCAGTCCAGAGGGTTTGGGGAAGGCAGGGCCAGGGCAGGAGAGTGTCACAGCTCCTGGAAACAAATTGGACTAGGTCTTGGGGTAGTCAAGTGCCAAATTTGGCTGATCAGAAGGCTGGTGGTCCAGATGGTGGGGAGCATCTTCATGTGCTGGCACCAAGACAGCATGATCTACTGTCACGGACTTTGTGGCTAGCTTTTGGATTTTATTCATTCACAGGATGTGGGTATCACCTGCTAAGCCAGTATTTATTAGCCATCCCTAATGGCCCAGAGGGCAGTTAAGAATCAACCACATTGCTGTGGGTCTCGAATCATACTGGCCCAGGTAAGAACAGCATTTCCAGCCTTAACGATGTACTCTAGTTTCATTAGACTTTTAGCTCTGGTCTTTTAATCAGATCCAAATTCCATCTGCATAGCAGGATTTGAACCCAGGTCCCAAGATTGTTACTGAGGTCTCTGGATTAATAGTCTGGTGATATTACCACTCGGCCATCACCTCATTAAATAGGCATGGAGGCCATATGGGGTCATCGGGCAAGGCATGAGGTGGTATTGTTTGGATGGATGATGTTGGAGACTGTCCAGCCGATTTCTGTTTCTCTTTTTGGCTGAGACCAAATACTAAAGCCACGGTGGGACCCTTCACACAGTTAGCCTCCGCACCTGCAGGCCCAGTGGCTACCTCTAGACTGATTTTAGCCCAGCACCTTCCAGGGCAGCTGAATTCCAAGGACCTTCCTCTTCACCTCTTCCTCCCATCCATCTCCTCCCCTACTCTCCCACCTCTTTCTCACCACTCTCCTCACTCCATCCCTTCCTTGCATCCCATCCCTTCCTCCCCCCACTCTCCCCTTCCCTCCCTCATTCTTCCCCTCTCCTCTTCTTCCCTCACATCACTCTCCCTTCTTCCCTCTTCTTTAACCTCTCTCCCCACTCCCTCCTTCTCTCTCCATCTTGTCCCCTCCCATATTCCCCTCTAATTTCCTCTATCCTTCCTCACTCTCCCCTTTCCACTTGCCGGCAGCAAATGTTTACACCAAGTTCTAAAAAAAACATTTCACCTTCAGTATCATAAAAAATAAATTCCGTCGTTCACAGAAGTCCACTCACTTCTTTTGAATGTCAAATGGTTAAACTCTTATGAAAACAATCTTCTTTCAAATTAATCAACCAGTATTCTCCAGAGTATCAAACAAAACTGTGAATTTGGAGCCTCCCCTGATAAGAAAATTAAAGGTTTTGGAAAGCTGCCATGCATTCATAATGATAGCTGTGTGGGAAAATCAGTACACATCTTGGAAAACTTCCAAAACAGAGTTTTTTGCTGCCTCTTGTTTAAATGGCAACCTGAATTTTTTTATTTAAAAGTTTAAAGGGCTAGGGAATTCAATAACCTCATATCATTACAGCTATAATGATCTTATGCATCATACAGTCTGGTTTATGTATACTCTATAAATTTGTGGCTCATACCCGACAGTTTAAGCTGTAGACAACATAGGGTCTGCTGAAACTCAGTGCATGTTCAGCGGTGATACTCTGAATGCTGTACTGTGTTCAGGCTTCTGACTGTGTAAATGAAGCCCCATCCCCTTTCTCCTGCTAGCAAAAAACAGGATCAGTCAAAAATGGAGGTCAGACTTCTTTATCTGAATCCCATTCATCATTTGAAAGCTCTGCAAAGTCTCCATATCTCTGTAAAAATTGAGGCCTCAAAGTTTAAATCAAACAACTAGCTGATCCATGCTTTCACAGAAGCTTCACTCGGATCAAAATTCTAAGGGACAAAAGGGGCCCTTCAGCCTTTCTAGGCTAATCCATCCCTCGTTGACATCATGGCTGATCTGATTAGATATCAACTCTATTTTCCTATCTCCCTCTCATAATCCTTGATTCCTTTATCTCACTAAAATGTATCAAATTTGAATAAATTCAATTACCTAGAATTCACTGCTTCCTAAAGAAGCAAGTCCCATAGACTAATCACCCTGAGAAAAAGAAATATCCTTCAACTCCACTTAAATGGAGACCTGTTACTTTTAAAGGTGTCTGTCCAATTCTCTCAGCCCTTATTCAGTACCAATGTGAATGGGAGTATCCTGTAAGGATATGTTTTGTGCCTCAACTAGTCCTCGTTTATTTTTTAACTATTTAGAAGATGGGATTGAAAACTCCATTTTCATACTTGCTGTCAACTCAAGGCATGGAGTGATGTGAGCAACGTACAGCAAATTACAAACAGACGTGAATAGATTAATAGGACAAAGCTATGGCAAATGAATTTCAATGTTGGCACTTTGGACCCACACAGATAGAACATACACGTGGTAAATGGGCTAGAAACAGTGAAAGTTTAATCACACTTGGCAATCCAGGTAAAAATATGCTAAATGTATGCTGAACAGGGACATACAATAATGAAGAAGCCTCATGGAATACTGGCCTTTATAGTTTGAAGAAAATAATACAAGGGGGTAGAAGTCATATTTCAGTGGTACAAAGCTCTGGTTTGACCATCCCTGGATAACTGAGAGCAGTTCTGGGCAGCTCACCACAGAAAGGAGATATTGGCCTTGGAGGGAGTGCAGTGTAGATTTACTAGAATGGTGCCTGGACTGCACACAGTTACATAATGAGGACAGCTAAAACAAAATAGGGTTATATTCTGCAAAGTTTAGCAGGTTACGGGGTGATCTGATTGAAGCTTACAAGTTATGAGAGGGAAGAGATAGGATGAATGAAGATAAATTATTTTCACTGGTTGGGGAGCAATTGTCTAAAAGTCAGAGGCAGGCCTTTCAGGATTGAAATGAGGAAACAGTTCCACATATAAACTACAATCAACGTGAGATTGTTATTAAGCAAAAGAGTGAAAGGCTATCAGGAGTAGACAGGAAGGCAGATTTGAGGCTACAATTATGTCATGGACCTGACCATGGTCTTATTAAATACCAGAACAGGCTCAAGGGGCTGAATAGTCAACTCTTGCTCTGAATTTATACGTATGTTTGTAAATCAGTTATAAATTATGATATATGTGATATAATATAAATTATGAGATTGACACGGGTTTTGGACAATGGTTCAAAGGGATCTGGGAAAGGCACAGAAATATGTTGCTCGATTTAAATAGTTGGGCATACTCAAGGCAATGGCTCTCCTAATTTCGATGTGCAATAAGTCAACAGTCCCTCAGTACAGCCCCTTAAACGAGGCAACTCTCCCTCAGAGGAACTGTATAAATTACAGTCCCCAGGATAACAAGCTCGTAACACACACAGAACTCTACAATAGGACATCAATAAGAATCCTCACACACTCTGCACCTCCCAGATAATTGCACCTCACCTTCTCATAGTCAGGAATGAGCCATCAACAAAACTCAGCCTGGAAATCAGAAGGGAAATGCTTCCAATAAACACACTCAATATCCAACACACAGCTCCAGTCAAACAGTTCAGCACAAAGCACCGAGTAAACAGCTCTCTCAGCTGGATCTTCTCACACAGCATAAGGGACATTTCCACCCCTGATTGCCCACAGGATAGTCAGACTGCCTGAAGATTGGTGTGGATATTATGGGATACAATTTGTATAAAAGCTGCTCCTTCACTCACCATCTCCTCACTGGGTTTTCAGTCTCTATAGGAAGTGAACCAGCTCTGGAAGAGGAAGAGGAGAGAATGGGCAGAGTGGGTGGGCTCTCTGATTGACGTCTCTCACAGCCAATCCAAATATTTCTGCAGCAACATGAGTTTCCTGAAGCTTGGGAAACTGACCGGTGAAATGGAGGTGACTTTGAGCAGCAGATCAGGTGGAGATTTAAACTTGTCATTGTCCCATCTGAATAAAACCTCACTTATTGCAGCTGCTGTCTAAATGTTTTCTAGTGTGGTAATTGCATTCTTCATCGATGGAGGCTTTCAAACTGACAACATCAGCGTGGGATGTGTCGCTTTCAATGTGTTTAGATTAGAAAAGGAACACCCACAATATCCAAGACGGTAGTTACGCGAGAGGGAAGATTGAGTGCTTACAGGGTGTCTCCACAATCTGACTGAAAGATTTAGGGAGTGTGAAGTGATTCACTCTGGGAGACACCTGTGGTGGGGTCACCTCCTGTGGAGTTTCATCTCCCCTCACCTTCAATTTCTGAGGCTTGTGAGACCGCGTTCAAAGAACCAGATGACCACGAGCAGTGAGTGGCGAAAATAGCCTCTTTATTGTACATTCACGGCAGCACGGTGTAAGGCGAAATAGAATTCCCTACATCATAGCTCAAAAGCAACCATTTTATACAGAACTCAAGCATACATTAACATTCTAACTCTTGAGTGTTAAGCAGTAGACATTGTACAAAAACTGTTTTGCAGGAAATCGGAGATGGTTTAAACATTTGCTAAATGTTACCGGTTATTGTTGAGTGTTAATGGTTATTTTAATGAGATTCGAGTGTCTGTCTGATTTGCGCTTGCGTAATTCAAAAGGTGTTAGTCTTGTTATTTTCAAGGTTAGAATTTTAAAGTTAGAAAAAGGCATCTTGTGTTTTTTAAACAAAAGTCTGAGTTCCCAACAGTTTTGATTGTCTGTGGTTCTATTTTCTATCATTCATTCATTCATTCGGTTTCGTGGTCACACCTGTTGTAGTAGTGCTGTCAGTTTCATTCATTCATTCTTTCATTCAAAGTCGCGCGGGAGAAGGGTCTAGGCCCGAAACGTCAGCCTTCCTGCTCCTCTGATGCTGCTTGGCCTGCTGTGTTCATCCAGCTCTACACCTTGTTATCTCAGATTCTCCAGCATCTGCAGTTCCTACTATCTCTGGACATAGCGCTGTTAGTTTTATTAGTAGGTTAAAGGTTGCTTACATACACTGCATAGCGTTTTTAGTTTTATTGGTGGGGTAAAGTTTTATATACCTGTTGAATAAAAACTTGGGACAAGTACCTGGCTACATAATATACAGGAAAAGTCTGCAGGGCTATCCAATTATCACCTTTGACTGATACTTGGAGTTACTCTAGCTGGACGGAGAAGATAAACGACTTAGTAATAGCAGCTATGCAGTTGGATTTTAATATCAAATAACACTGTTTTTGGTTTGGGGGTGCAAAACGTTTCCATCCTGTAGTGTCTGTGGTTTTGTTCGCCGTCACGCCTGACTGCACCTTTGAATGGAATGTCGGTCTTGTTTAAATGGGGTTGTTGACATAGCGCGTTATGCATGAGTGCACTTTCAAGTGGAGTGTATCCGCAAATTGAAGTGGTTGTAATCTGATAGGGTAGCGAACCCCTGAATTAGTTTGAATGGGGGCTGGCTAGTACACGGAAATCTGAAGTTAGTATTATAACCACGAATTAGTGGGTTAATGGATTAATAGAAATGATTTATGGAGTTATATTAAAAGTTGTTAACACCTTTGAATTCCGATATATCAGGCTCAACATTCACCTCATCCCATTCCTCTCCAGTAAATGTCCCAGTCCATTCCCTTCTTCCAGGACATTCCAGACCATCCGCTCTCCGGGGACGTTCCAGTTCATTCCCTTTTCCGGGGACATTCCAGTCCATTCGCTTTTCCCAAGATGTCCTGGTCCATTAATCTCTCCTGTGATTTCCTGGCATATTCGCCTCTCCTCGTACCCCTCCGGAACTGTCCCAGTCCCAACCTTGTTTGAGAGTGATATTGTTCAATGTGCAGTACACTAGGATTATTGTGGCCATTCACTCTCTCTCTGGGGAATACTGTGATCCATCTAGGTGTACCAGTAACTGAAACAGTTCTTCAATATCTGCTCCCAGGATGAGGCATTCCACTCCCGTACATCTCAGTTGTCCTCGTTTTTCAAGGACCGTAACTTCCCCTCCTCGGTGGTCGAGAACGCCCTCAACCGTGTCTCCCACATCTCCCGCATCTCCCGCACCTCATCCCTCACACCCCGGCCACGCAATAAAAACCAAAAAAGAATCCCCCTCGTCCTCACGTACCACCCCACCAACCTCCGGATCCAACGCATCATCCTCCGACACTTCCGCCATCTGCAATCCGACCCCACCACCAAAGACATCTTTCCCTCCCCACCTTTATCTGCTTTCCGGAGGGACAACTCTCTCCGTGACTCCCTTGTCCGCTCCACACTCCCCTCCAGCTCCACCACACCCGGCACTTTTCCCTGCAACCGCAGGAAGTGCTACACCTGCCCCCATACTTCCTCCCTCACCCCCATCCCAGGCCCCAAGAAGACTTTCCACATCAAGCAGATGTTCACCTGCACATCTGCCAATGTGGTATACTGCATCCGCTGTACCCGGTGTGGCTTCCTCTACATCGGGGAAACCAAGCGGAGACTCGGGGACCGCTTTGCAGAACACTTACGCTCGGTTCGCAACAAACAACTGCACCTCCCAGTCGCGAACCATTTCAACTCCCCCTCCCATTCCTCAGACGACATGTCCATCCTGGGCCTCCTGCAGTGCCACAACGATGCCACCCGAAGGTTGCAGGAACAGCAACTCATATTCCGCTTGGGAACCCTGCAGCCCAATGGTATCAATGTGGATTTCACAAGTTTCAAAATCTCCCCTCCCCCCACCGCATCCCAAAACCAGTCCAACTCGTCCCTGCCTCCCTAACCTGTTCTTCCTCCCACCTATCCCCTCCTCCCACCCCAAGCCGCACCTCCATCTCCTACCGACCAACCTCATCCCACCCCCTTGACCTGTCCGTCCTCCCTGGACTGACCTATCCCCTTCCTAACTCCCTACCTACACTCACCTTTCCTGGCCCCATCCCCGCCTCTTCGACCTGTTTGTTTCCTCTCCTCTATCCCTCTTCTATCCGCCTCCCACTCTCTCCCTATTTATTTCAAAACCCCCTTCCCCTCCCCCTTTTCTGATGAAGGGTCTAGGCCCGAAACGTCAGCCTCTCTGCTCCTATGATGCTGCTTGGCCTGCTGTGTTCATCCAGCCCTGCACCTTGTTGTCTCTTCAATATCCATCTTGTTTCTGTCTGTCAGTTGTTTCAGACAGACCTGAACATCAATATTCAGCATTCCTTCAGGGTGAGAATGTACAAAATGGCAACATCAGCCACAGAAGGAATGGATGGACCTTGTCCCTAGTCAGCTGACCATTAGTTCAATCACCTTCCCTGAATATGGGTGTAATGTCCAAGTTCCTAACAATGAGAGCATTGTGGATGATCCACCAGAGATAACAGCAGATTTAAAGGACATTGTCTGAAGGGCGAGAACGGTGGACCTACATAAACGTGGGACATTTGCATACCCAAATAAAGACTGACCTCAGTCATTAAAAGACTTCTGTATTATTGATGTTACTGTCATAGAATGTCATATCTTGGAGCAGGACCCTAGACAAAGAGGAGAAAGGAGTCCTTCCAACACCGTGCATCTAGCAGTAGAATGGCCCACTGTAGCTCAGTCTTACTGAGGAACAACAGGGATTTACAAGCAGTGGACAATTGTTCTGGAATAAGCCAGTGGGATTTAGGATAGCTATGTTTTTGTTTGATGTGAGATCCTCTATTAGTATCCAGTCTGTAAGAGGTTCCTCACTCCCAGAGTCTACCCACTTTTCACAGTTCCATGCAAAGACCGAAAGAATCTAGAGGGACAGAATCACGATGCCGGTATGCAGTATCACAGAATCACAGCGTCACTGGGTCTATCACAGTCAGCCAGTTTCACAGTCACAGCATCACAGATTTGCCGATTTAGACTCACGCTCCTGGTTGATCTCTGAGTCCCTCCTTCCCAGGCCTTCTACTATAGACCATAAAATTGTGCAGAATTCAGTGAAGGATTCCACTTACCCTAATCAGGGCCAGTCTAACCTCTTCAAGTCCAGTTGGTGTAAGTTTCCGAGCAAGGGAAGGGGAGTTGGTCCAGGAGGGAAGTTGCTGGGAACATTTTCATAGCTGCAGGAATCCAGACACAAAGACAACACTGACATTTTCACAGCATTTTCACAGCCTGCAGGAATCCAGACACAAAGACAACACTGACACCTGCAGCTCTAAGCAGTTACCACTTTAAATCAAGTTTACAGGGGGGAGAAGCATTCTGTGCCCACTCTTGCGACCTCCCCCCCCCCCCAAAACTAAATGTGAATACAACAGAAATATTAGAAGATACTGTCAGCTGTGGCTTAGTTCTCACCTTTGGTTTGAGTCAGAAGATTGTGGATTTAAGTCTCACTGCAGAGACCTGAGCTCTGATGCTGACACATTGCCGTTTGTGGGAGCATATGTTTTATGAAATCAAATATTTGCAACATACTTCAAAAAACACTTATTTGGTTATGTCATGAGTTTGTGACAAGCAAAATGTTCATACAGATTTCCTCTTCTTAGAAGCTGGTTGCTGCACGGCAAATGGGAATGTTAAACCCATTGATGAAGAAAGTCTCAGCCACAGTGACATTGACCAATAGATTGTGTACAGGACTCTTACTGTAGGATCCTGAGTGTTTCAGTGAATAGGAACACACCATGCTGATAAATCAGTTCGATTGGTTGAACTAAATAATGAATCAATTGTGAGTTATAAATCTGCACGGAAAATTGATAAAACATACCAACATAAGAACAAGGAACAAGAGTAGGCCACTGAGCCCTTTC